AGGTCCCCAAAACAGTACGGCAGCCTTATACTGAAAGGACCCCCAAAGGGCCCCTAACTAGAGAGAACTAACCGTGACAGTGAACCTTACACCTTACATGTTTTACTCGATATGGGTTCCTCATCAAGTGGGACTATATTTTAGACCATACTAAACTACAAAAGGGACCCCTGTGTTCCCTGCTGCGGGTCTTGTAATAAGGCTACCATTGACAATAACTCATAAAAGGATATACAGCAGTATGTGGGAGCATTGTCCTGCAATGATAGCTGCCCACTTCCATCCTTGTCGATTCTGTCGAAAATCTTCGCCAGGGACTTTCCTCAGCCCAGGTTACTACACCACAGAGGTTGGCAAGCATGGCCGATGATACAAAGCAAACTGAAAACGACCTTGGTCCCATTCTCTTTATCACTTCCGTAACTTCTGTAAAGTGGAAACAACAATTTCCATCTTCATGTCCACCTATTAAACCCTAAACGCGAAACTCTCTTTTCGGGAAGATGTCTGTCGAAGTCAATCTCATCCTCCATCTCCTCCGCCAAGGTTTGGACATCGTTGAGCCGGGCATCTGCAAAGGTGTCAACGACAACTGCAACCTGTTCCGGGGATGCGTGGGTTTCCAAATAACTATTTGAGACCCCTTCGTGGGTATCGTGTGATTTTGGCATATGCAAGAAATATACACGGTTTAACCCCAAACCCTAAGCACCCTAAACCGTGGACAGTGGAGGAGTTGAGGTCTTGCGGTCTCCTACTCCAGAAATTCCCCGCGTGCGCGCGCATCAATACCTGTTGGGAAGTGGCCTGCGGCCATTCAACAAAGGATCCTTGTTTCGTTCTGAAAATCAACGACACTCCAGTAGCAGACAATACTCAGGAGTATTAACAATTAATTACTGATATCATTTTGGTGTATATTTCGGTGCCCTGCGCCATAATTCTAATCGCAGAGAGAATCCGGAACCAGGATATTGATTCGTATTGAAGCCTTTTTTGCAATCATCGCCGACTGCATCCTCGCCCTTAGCCAGCTCTGTGTGTGTTTTTCTCTTTGCTCCCTAGGTTCATTTCATTTTGCGCCTGGCGCTGGCCACCTTGCGTATCGCATTGCCTAAGTCAGCGACGTTTTGCTTGGGCTGCCTATATCCATGGTTTGGACGCCAAGGGATGTGGCAGAAGTAGTGCAGCACGTAGCTTGAGCACTGTTCCCTTGATCCGATCAAGGGCATCCTACGGAAGACGCCCGCTCAACAAAAATGCGACTTTGTATCTGCAAACCAGACACGCTTTGCTGTTGCTTCTTTTTAACTCATGACGTGCAGAGAAACAGAAAAAGCCTGGCCTGGCTCCTACCAGTCCTACCATAGCATCTCCCAACTTCTTTCACTGCGAACGGAGGAGAACGTGAAAGTTGCTACAATGATTTCCCTTCCGCCCTCACGGGGTGTTTCCTCTTGTTGCTGTTGCCGGAAATTGTGTATGGATTGGAAGGGAGCTGTTGCAGTTGCTCCCTCATCCCAGCTGCATGGCTATCGTCGAATCCCTTGCTACAGGGAACTTGTAAATGGGGCCGACAAATTGTTGAGAAAGCCTCAGTTGCTCTATTGTGCTGTCTCGCTTGTCCCGAAGCACTCTCTCCCTGCCTGTTCTTGCAGGCTCAATCGCACCTCACAAAAAGTGTCTCGGTGGGTATGAGACATGATTTGGGAAACTGGCAGAATCCATTTCAGCCATTTTAACATGGGCATTCGAGAAGTGGTAGACGCCCTTCAGCGTTCACCAGACAAACACAGGACACTACTGTGGCAGTTTGCGCTCTCTGCTTCATGTTGGCTGTAAAATTTTGATGTGGACTTACAAATGCTCCCACATGAACAACTAAACACTCAGCAAGTATACCTGTAACCTCCTTGAGCTATATAATGATCTTAGATATCCTCAACATTTTCCTACTTGCTAAGCCCGCCCCAAAAATCCCTGCAAGTACAGCTTAGACCTGGAGGACAATCTCACATGACTACCCTTCCACCCACAATTCTCGTCCTACGGTGGATGCCAAGATCCTGCATGACCTTAAGTACCTGCAACCGGGGGATTTGTGGTACTATGGTATACTTAAAGGTCATGCAGGAGCTTTAGTATCAACAGTACTACCGACTTTCGCAAAGCAACGATGAGGTTCAGAACTCCAAATACCAACGTCAGCTGAGAGCCGACGAAGATGAAGGCACTTGCTGGATTTTCCTGCCAGCTGATCGGGTTGCAACCCAAAGCCCAAAACCCCGAGCCCTAAACCCTTATCCCGAAACCAGAGGCTCTAGATCCTAAGCCCTAAACCCGAAGCCACAATTTCTAAACCCTAAACTCGACACTCCTAAAAAAAAAAACGGCCAAGCGTCTCTGACGATCACTGGTGCGACGTCGACTACTAACCGGTTACTAAGTCCACCAGCTTCGAGGCTACGGCTTGGGGATTTAGGGTTTAGGCTACACGGCTTAGGGTCAAGAGATTTCGGCTTTAGGCTTCAGGGATTCACGGCTTGGGGTTTACACTCCCCCGTAGCCAGATAGTCTACAGGGTATGTGGGATATTAGCACTTGCATAATGCTATCTCAAGCCATCTCTGATGCCTGGTGCCCGTGACCCCGGGACCCGCAATCCCCAAGACGCCTTAGGGTATCAACATCATTTGAGGTACCCTATTCTTTATAATTAATTGAACGAGGAACGTGAAACCATCCTATAGTATGGATTTTGGGCTTCAAACCGTTACTCTCCCCAGCCTGAATTACTGGGACAGCAACCTCGCCCCAGCTGTCACCAGCAATAACCGTTTTGAAAAGCAGTAAGTTTGCATCCATGACCTTGGTTCTCCGGTGTAATTTGCAAACAACGAAACTGTTTCTGAAAACGCTGGCTCTTTGAGGGGATACGGGGTGTCATGGGATCTTTACTCCAAGGCTCAAGGATTAAGGAAGATCCGCCCTGTCCGAACACGAACATTCCTCTGAAAGGACCTCGTGCACCAGTATTGGGTTTAGGGTTTAGGGTTCACGCAAGAGGAGGACTTGAATTCTTTCTAATGCCGAAACACAGCAAAGCGCAACAGTTCATAAGAAAGCGAGGGGGGTTGAAAGCGAAATGACTACTGTTGCACCCAAGGATAGGGCTGGTTCGTAAACCGTATCATGTATCCTAAACCCCTAAACCCTAAACCCTAGCTTCCTAAACCCTAAACCCTAGCTTAAACCCTACACCCCTTATCAATGACTCCAAGGGGCCGAAGATGTTGCTCGTCTGCATTGCAGGCAATCCTCAAAAAAGCCCTGATTGGCGTGCATGTCCCGCACGAAAGGGTTCACAGTTTCCACCATTAACATGGCCCAGACCGTCATCACCAGAAAACATAACCTTTGCGTCGGTCGACATGTGTGAACTGTCGCTCTTCTTTGCGTCTCTCAGACAGAAAAATGGATACTTCTCCAAAGTAGGATCCCTTTACATATCCGATATCCCTAAATACAATATGGTGCGTGTATTTATGGTCAAGATGTATAATGGGATCCCATAATCTTGAGAAATGACTCAATCAGAAAACCCATGAATATCAGAGCAATGGCCCAGCAACAGAAATGACCACAGCAGTGTCCTGAAACACGTTGCCATCATCATCACCTCTCCCCATACCCGGGGACAGAGCTAGAAAGCAACCCTCTGATTGAGGCATGGAAGTCTATGAAAATTGGGTGCCCTTTACAACTGTATCCGATAATTCACATTTACAGGAGGAACCCACGACAGCAGTCTACGGTAGAAGCATAAGACACTACTAATGTTATCCCATTCCAACCCCTATATGATCCGTATAAAACCATAGCCCAAAACCCCACTCTAATTATTTAGGCCCCATATAGTATTTTCTAGATCATTAGAATATACAGGGGGCCTATTATTTGTCTATTGTTGCTATCCCCACAAGTGGAGAATCCCAAAATCAAAAGAACGTGGGAACTGAAGTGGAAACTGGGGTTATGCAGGGGCTCCGGGGCCTACTTTAATCCAATAGGGTTTGAACGTAGAGCGGCACGACAACTACGAAGCCTGTCACGGTTAGCTCAGAGCTCCTGCAATCCAGCACGGCAACAAAAAGAAGCACACCAATCTCGATCAAGTACTTTTACCCCCCTCCCCCCTCCGCCCTCCCCGCGCTCAACTCAACCTGTTGTCCGAGTTAGCTTTGCACGAATCAGTCTGCGGTGGTATGTCACATCATCGCCATGCGTATTCCCGAAGGCATGCACACTTACATAAGCTTGCGCGGTGTTCTACACAGTCGCCTGCATTGTTCGAGTCTGGCTTCATTCATGCTCATTGTTTTGGTCTGACAGTCACATGTTGGCTCGGTTCGAAGGGTTGGTGATAGCTAGGGGCATTGAAGTGAGGGCCGATGAGGCGGTCAGCACACAAACATCTACTCGAGACCATGTGCAGGTCTTTCGCCCGCTATGTTACGAGCATCCGTAAAAGCAAGGTAGACTGCGAAGCCTTTCAGAGGTAGCTCAACGTGACTCGGCAGCAGAGAAACAAAAAGAATGGTTGGGCAGCGATACCAGCAATAGGGAGGCATTGGCAAGCTGGGAAGGATTCGTTTGCTCGTAATGTGCAAACAAAATTCTTAGTGAAACGGTCTCGGAATCGGAGTGTGGACCCTTAAGGCACATGCCCTTTGCCTACTCTGCGTTTAGGCGATACCTTTGAAGGCGCTATAGCTACCTTTCCCATAGACCCCAAGACCCAAAAAATCCTAAAACCCCAAAAGAAGTTCTGAAGCTCTGCAAAGCTCTCCCTACATCGTACTTAAACATCCATAAGCCCCTACGACTGCCCCAAGCCCCCCCTACTAAAACTACCTCAACCTACCTAACCCCCCTAACCCTAGACCCTAAGCCCTAAACCCTAAAACCCCAACGCCCTAGACCCTAAACCCTAAGGACCGCAAGAAGGCACCAGCTTGTGCAGCTCCCGCAGTGGGCGGATCTTCTTCCTTGTGCTGGGCTGGTGTAAAAATAGGGTTTAGGGTTTAGGGGAACTTACCCAGACCCCCTACTTGGAGGTTCAAGGGCAGTCATAAGTGGGGTTAGAAGTAGGGTATCTATAGATAAAAACCTCGATTAGGGGACTTATCATCCCACATTATGACTACCCATGAACCTCCAAGATGAGGGATCCACCAAATTGAGCAACCCAAAATGAACCCATTACTACAAATGGGGAAACTAGGGGGCTATTATTAGGGGGTTCCCCTTCTTGGGATGCTTTATGGGGCCTGGGTAAAGCAAGGTTATCATACTAGAGTGTGGGTTTCAGGCTTCGAGTTCAAGGCTTAGGGCTTAAGGTAGCAAGGTGTTTGAAGTGTGAGGTTTGGGGCACCAGGTTGGCGTGAAGGAACTCCAATGGCGGTCTCTCCAAAACGGGTGCCGTACGGGACATTGGGACATTTTTCGCCTTCTTTGGTTGCTTTTGGGTTTAGGGTTTAGGGTTTAGGCGCTTCTGATGGATGATTTTCGGTAAGCCTCATATAGGTACCGTCCCTTTGCAGGGAGTCGGGTTGGGGGGGGGGGGGTCTGGGTTAACGGTTTTTGTTCGCGGGTTTAGGGTTCAGTTACGAACCGAATGGAAAGTAAACTGCTGGAAATCCAACTGGAAACTGAGGGCAAACAGGGGTTACATGGATTTAGCATCAGGTGCTGAAATCACACGAGCTTTAGTTCAAACTCCAAGTATCCCCGTTAATAAAGCCTGTACTTCTCCCTCATATATATATATACATACATACATATATATATATATTTATTTATTTATACATATAAAATACGATCCTCCATAAAACCCTCGTGCAGGAGTTTCGACTATAGGCCTTAACCCTAAACCTTAGCCATAAAGCCTGTTTAGTCCCCCATGTGACCCGCGGAAAGGAGTTTAGACTATTGCCCAAATGGATTATTCCACTGCTCCGTGTGGGCGAACACCCGAGGCCTAGGGGGGTGTGCAAGGGAGAGTCACGTTTTAGGGTTTAGGGTCTCGGGTTGGGGGTTTGGCTTTCTCTGCTCTTGCAAGAAAATCTCAGACATGACTATGTCGTTGAGGAGGGGGGGGTGCATTCAGAGTTCAATTTGTGAGCTTGATTCATTTGATATTCCAGGCTCCCTTGGAAAGTGTTCCCAGGTTCCCATGCAATCCTGTATATCTCTTGGGTCATTCCCCTTACAGTAGCTGTCCGTCATAAGGTCTTATGAAGTGAAGGAGCTACTAAAACCTCCTGCCATCCGTTGTGGCAACCGTTACTGCAAGGTAGTGTCAATCCCTGAACCCTAAAAGCAATAGACACTAAATCCTGAACCTAAACGCTTAACCCTTCACCTATCTATATCTCCCTGTATAACCCCATAGAAGACTCCCTGGCTCTGCATTGGAGTTCTGAAAAATTGAGGAGGGAGGGCTAGGCAAGTAACAGCACTTGATCTCTAAACCCTGATCCCAAATACCGACTCAATAGCGACATGGTTCAGATTGGCCCAGGCTTTAGACTAGTACCTAAACCCCTCCAGAACCCCCCCCCCCC